AGGATTTATTTACTATATGTTCTTAAAACTGAAATTGATTAGAAATAGCCTACTATTAAAATAAATTTAATTAATTAATTTGATGTGAATTTAGCTTTAGTTAACAACACTCATACAAGTTAATAAACATAAACCAAATAAAATTTTTTTTACTAGAAACGATCGTCCAGATGAACTTGGAAATAGTACCATAGATAAAAGGAGTAGACATACTCTGTCATACATACATGTCTATACTCCTTTTATCTATGATAGTTCATTAAAAAATCTGAATATACAGTAGTGCCGTGCATTTGAAGTACTTACTCAGAACACAGACTTACTTGAGGACAGTTACACAATAAAACGCAAAGATCCACGGAAGTAAAGACTACATTATTTAGTAAAAAAAAAACAAGGATGCGTCAGTTAGGGCCAGTTAGACAATTGAAGTACACAGAATTGAATCACCATAGTATTGTCCACGCAACAACGTGAGAGGATAAAACATGTACTTCTTCAATTATAATTACATGTTTCTGTGTAAAACCGAAGACGTCTACAGACTTTACTAAGAAAAACTTCTCCCCGGTAACACAGGCAATGGGAATTCCTTTTAGACAATGTTTTCAATAGGCCTACAACAAAATCATAAAACAAAATATGTTTCTCAGGCTAAGTAGCACACTGTGCACTTCAGCAAATAAATAGTTTACCGAGATAACTATTGCTTACCAAGACAGCAGTGTCATTTAAGGAGAAATAGTACAAACTAATGTCACCAAAAGTCTAAATTCATTCTTTATTTTATTTTTTTAAGAGAGGGAAATAAAAATAGACAACAAAGCTTTAAATAACCGGTATTATCAATTTGTATTTATCTCTCAATTGAATAAATGTAACGGTAGTTACCTCACCACTGTTAACAATATTTGACCCTCCTATTACATAAATATGTTAGTTAATTTAATATTCAAACTCGTGTACATGTTGCTCGAATTCGAGCAATTTCAAAGTATTACAGAATTTATTTCAAAACGAAAAAAAGTAATAATCAATGAGTTTAAAAGAGTCAACTCAAAGATCACCAGTGTGTAACTGCTGGAGATACTCACGATGTATATACAGTATAATCAACATTTCCTGTAAATATTTTATCATATTTCATAAATTGGTATTGCTTTTTAATGTTCCTACAAATGTTTCCTGACTTATAGCTGCATAAGGTTGTCCATGTTTATCTTATTTATTGATAAACCTATGTATGGCACCACCCTTGTCGCCAGCAGTAAGTTTACAAATTTCAGTAATTTTTTTAAAAAGATAAACACTTTTTTGATCATATTAAGGACTTCCTGTTGTCTGTAACAATTTTATTTGTTCAATCGGCGTATTTTTATTTATTTAGCTAAATAAAACATTTATTTCATTGAAGTAAACTAATATAGGACTATTTATATTCACTGTACTGTGTATAACAAAATATCGATTGAGAAACAAACAATTACACGTAATAAGAACCTCGCTAGTCCGCTGCATTGTGATAGCTGAAAATCGTCGGAATGAAAACCGCCGCTACAAGATACAGAAGTTGGTACGCCTGCAGTGCCCTCCACAGCTGCGCGCGCCGCTGGCACTGCCGCTCAACACATCCCCACCTAAAAGACGAGCAAGTGGTAAGTCGGTCGGGAGAATTGACGACAAGTTGGTTTCTCGTATATAATAATTTAGATTTACAGGCCGGTCAACTGGACTGACGATGAAATAACTTGTCGACGTACTGGTTTTCAGTATTTATCTATTTAATTAAAAAGACGGTCTAGTGGCAAGACGACCAAGTATCTTGTCGGTCAACTGGTGGCCCCCCTATTTAAGTACGGTAACTTTAAATTTAATGAGTACTAGGTTTACTGCTATGTGGAGAGTAATAAAGCGTGTATTTATGTTAAATATCATTAGCTTAGTATGAAATAAATAAATTTAACAAATTTGATCAAAGTATATCCATAAATGAGCAAACTGCAGCAACTTTATTTTCCTCCATAAGAATAACATGGGAATTTTAAATTCAATACTTACTTTTATTATTTATCTCAATAACTGTTAGAGATAGAGCAAACCTTCAATATAAAAAAGATGTATTTTTAGACGTTCTTTAACTTTTGTAATACCAATAGTTTGTGAAATATTGTCAAAAAAGTAAAAACTGGCCGCCATTTTCCAAGATGGCGGCTGAAGCACAGTCAGGATTTATGGGGACTTTTGATATTTTATTTATTTAGGCTTACTAAACAACTGTGCAAAGTTTCCACTTGGTCCGGATTTGTTAGGTCAAATGGCTTTTATATCCCTAAAATTCTTGGACTAAATGGCGTCATACAATAATATAACTTAAAACTAGTACATGGATTTTTATGGCTTACTACATGGATGGATTGTGAAATTGCAAGAAACAGTGTTTAAGAGCAGACTATGAAAAATTGTTATTTTAATGCAAGTGTTGATATCATTGTTAACCCTTCCAGGACGGTCCCATAACGCTGGTTTTTCTACCGCAATCTTGATCAATGTTTTGGTATTCTGGGAATGCCATATGGCAAATGAAACTGCCAGAAATAGTGATTACAGTTTTATTGCTATAATATCCAATTGATGAAATAAAAAAGCAGACAATTTAAAAGTATTGGACTATTATTTAAGTACTATCCTTGAATAGTCAAAGGTGCTACATACTTAAATCAATCGCCAAAACAATCAAAACTATAAGCTAAAAAAATACTAGGTTTTTTTCTGACAAAAAATTATACATAAATATAATGATAAACATTATACAGTATATACCTTTAAACTAACAAGAAAAATATAAAGTAATATTTAATTAACGGTAACTAACTCACAAATATTTGTTTAAACAAATGTAGGTACATAAAAAGTGTATTATAAAATATGCGTTTTAAAAATCTTAAATATGGATGAAAAATTCTTACTGTGGATCAATGCATGCTCTAAAAACAATATTGGTGAAACAGTAGGCTACATAAGTCATAAGGGAGTAATATTAGAGAGTGAGCTGGTCTAGTGGTAGAGTGAGGGACTTCAGTCCCTGAGGTCCCAGGTTTAAATCCCATTAATTACCCATTAATTAAATGGATTTTATCCAATTGATAAACCACAACCCCTTCTAGACCAGCTAGCCTGACGTATCGTGGAAAACAAGGTTTCTAGAACCTAGATAAATAATAATAACTAGGAGGTATTTGCAGAGGCATCCACAAAATTGAGCGGAGTTATCAAGGCATTATTTAGTCGTTGACCCTCACCATCAAGCTTCATTTTTATTTTTGACTAGATGAGTACCCGTCCTTCGTACGGGGTTGGCATACAATGCTTATTGAAGTTAAATACTCGTGTTTTGCATTTGCAATGAGAGAGGACACGTTTTGAGAAAATTTTGTTTACTATAATCTACGGTATACTGTAGTATATAGAACATCTACCATAGCCATAATATTCTACCACCTCACCTAAACAATAGAACGAAGTAAAGTTCTCACACTCAGGTTTTTGTTGCTGCTTGGTTCAAATTAGCTGTTGTCATAAATGTATAAAGAACTAATGGTGCTGCACCCTGTTGGTAAACCGTGTAACCTTTTAATGATATTGAGTATCATAGAAACAAATTGTGTAGTTGAAACAGCTGGCAAAATTATTTAATTCCTTTTAAATATGAATACTCATAAGGTTAACATGGGAAACTCCAGAGCCGCTGGGGTGGAGCCCGAAAGGATTTTTGATGTAAGAATATGTCTATAAGTTAATCGGGAATGTGAGCTATCATCATACCAAATGTCAACACAATCCGACCAGTAGTTAATGCGTGATTGAACTTCAAACAAACAAACAAACAAATAAACAAACAAACACACAAAGAAGAAGATGGTTCCCTGTGAACCGAAACTATAGTTGCCACAAGCAGCATATTGGATTACTGAATGCAGGTATTTAAACCATTATAAAACACACAAACTTTCACATTTATAATATTAGTATGATTAATGTTATTTCATTTTAGCGAATTTCCCATATAGGGAATAAGCTATTACCGTAGGTCTGATAGAAAAACCTGGACCCGGAACAGATTTAATTTTTCGTTTCGATGTCCCCAGAGGCCAAAAACTCCATCCATTCAAATTCATATCCTACTAATATTATAAATGATCACTTCAAAGACAAGCAGACTTTGATCATTTATGGCACAAGTCTCTTGAATACAAAACAATAATTACAACTAATTTATAGCATAAAGCCTCAGAGGATTATTTAACCCGGAAAACTTTGATGTTGGACTCTATTGTTTCATGAAAAATATCTAACAAAAGACCTAAATCAGACTAAACATTGGAATTTGCCACTATATCAATCTATGACTACTCTACTTTGACAATCTTAGCATATTATGTTTTCTTTCATTGAGTGATTAATGTAGGTATACAACAAGTAAGGTAATAAAAGTTACCTAACTTAGCCCAAACACATAATAAAATACTGCTGATCTTATGCCTATGTTTATGTGTCAAATACTGATTTCATAAGTTTTACATTCCATTGAAACTTTCAGACTCCATGGGAATCTGAAAGAATCTGATTGAATCAAATACAATCAATAACAGTCGAATCATAAATTAAATATAGCTTGGATTAATTACCATGTAAAAGTCGATTTTAACAACCCATTTAACTGGTGGAGTTGTATATCAAAGTTCTAACATTGCCCTAGAAACAAGTTGCCTTTATTCATAGATAATTGATATAAAAATGTTCATACATTATGGCACAATTAAAAATAATAAAATTACATAAGACATTATTGACAGCAAAACAATAAATTTGCTTCTTCATTCACATGTTGATAGCCATTATTTAGCCTATTAATACAATAATATAAATACAGAATAAATAAATTTTCAGTGTTTCACTAATATGATTTAATGTAATATTTTAGATTTTATGCAACTACATACCTACACACTTCTCTCTTGTGGAGTCTTGTAAGGGTAGTCAATGTACTCAAAAATATCCTTCTCACAGGTAACTTGCAGAGGCTCGCCAGGAACACCTAGGGACAACATACCATCATGAGGGACAGTATGACAGGGTGTCAGAACATTTTATAGATTTAGTTTCCCTCCTCTTATTCTAACTTTATGATGTTTAAATTACATTTTCACAATTAAGTAAAATAATATGAATAACATACACACACCCTCAATCAAAAACGTTCACACACACCACATTTATTTGTAATTTCTATTTTGGCGGCGTTTGTTAGTCAATATAACAGTATGAATAAGAACGTTACGGTGCCGCAACTGTTGTCAAGTTAATCTGTTGCAAAAACACTCCCTGTTATTGTTGTAGAACTTTCTCGAATCTATCGCCAAAACATGGCATCAAAATTGTTGATAGTTTCTAACCAGTGGAGCCAAGGGGACGCAGAGAGTATTCGTTGAGTGTGAAGCCCTGCTGTAGTGCATGGGCCCTCATCTCCTTGTTGAACATGTCACTGCCAGTGAAGTAAAGAGTGGCGCAGTGGTACTGGTCAAACGGAACGATGCGCAAATCTAGCCTCCTGGTCACTTCTCCCACCTTGCAGGCTCCCTAGGACACCAATCAAACGTACCTTTGATCATTAAGTACCTGGGGACCGAGCTTTGCTCGGGGAAAATCATTAGTTTACTCTGAAAGAAGTTTAGAATTGCAGATACATTAATCCATTCCCAAACTCCACACTGCTCGCCTTTACTACTTCCTTCACCATTACCTACGTCATGGACCTGTTTCCTTTCCTTCTCGTAGCATTTTATAAGATACATTAATCTTACTGCTACAAACGGTTTCCAGTTCCAACTCTCCACACTGCTTTCACATCGCAGACCTGTTTCCTCCCTTCCCATAGCATTTTAGGATTGCAGATAGATTAGTCTAATCGTCATAAACAGTTCCCACACTCCGGACTGCTCGCCTTTACTACTTCCTTCACCACTTCCTACGTCGCGAACCTGTTTCCCTCCCTTCCCATAGCATTTAAGGATTGCAGATACATTAATCTAATTGTCATAAACAGTTCCCACACTACGGACAGCACGCCTTGACTACTTCCCTCACCACTCTTTACGTTGCGGACCTGATTCCCTCCCTTCCCACGGCATTTTAGGATTGCAGTTACCTTACTCTAATCGTCATAAACAGTTCTCACACACCGGACTGCAAACCTTTACTTATCTTTTACCTTTTACTTACCTTTTATTATATATTTAAATAGCATTAGTTTAACGGGTACTCTAGGTTTGCTGCAACAGGGAGGGTAGAAAAGTTTTTTTTGTAAAATGGTAATAATTTAGTATAAAGTAAATGCATTTTCCAAATGTGATCAAAATATGCTCATAAACAAGCAAACAACAACAGTTGACTTATTCTCCATAAGAATAACATGTTAATTTTAAATTTACATTTTTTTTTTTTTTTCTCCGTAACTATTAGGCGCATAATAACGCGTCAAAATGTTTAATTTTTTATAATCTCCACAAAATGGTTTGGAAAGAAATTGCTAAATTTTATGTTTTTAGGGTCAAAAATGAGAAAAATCAATTTTCACCCCATAAAACCCCGTTCCCATGGTCTGATCATGCTGGTTCGCGAACTCGTTTGAATAAACATAGGTTTACACTAGGGATGGACGAGATTGGATTTTTAGTTCGAGACGAGACGAGACGAGTTTTTTTATTTCTCATAAAATTTCGAGACGAGATCGAGACGGGATTTCCCTTCTCATACACAACGGGAAATGCACGTTCAAAATTTTTACCTGATTTTGTAACATTGTTAGATGACTGTTTAAATACAAAAATAATGATAATAGGCAAGAATATTTACAATCTTTTATTAAAAAACATCAGCATAACATTTTTTTATTAATCACGCCTAACTTATTAAAATGCCTACGATTAGGAAACATAGTGATATCAGTTAGGATAGAGTTCAACTTATCCTAAAACAAAATAAATCATAAAATAAAAGCAATATTAATTTTTATAAAATAGTTACTTGTTTTGACTTTTTATAGTAATAAAACATTCCTCACACTGCTTACACTTAACAAAACTTCTCAAATGTTATTAAAGTAATATTATTAAAATAATTAAAGTAATATTTACATTTAAAGAATTAATTAAATAAGAACGCCTTCGCAAAGGGAACGCAACTACAAACGGTCCTGTATTGCGGGTATTGCATTGACTTTCTGCAGGAGTTTTTAATTTTTTTAATTTTTTTTTTTTATTCTCGTCTCGATAAAAATCTCGGCCAAAAAGAAATCTCGTCTCGTGTAACGAGATTTAAAATTTCCCGAAATTTCGAGACTTGACCATCCCTAGTTTACAGTTTACACGTTTATACCAAATTTAATCAAAATCGGATCATTTTACCTCGAGTTATTGTGCTAACGGACACACACACACACATATACAGGGAGTCCCGGAACTCTCTACCAATATTTTAGGGAATTGAGCCTGGGTAAAAAACGTACCTAAATATCATATTTAAATTGTCCGGAAGTCCTTAGTCACTCACACAGCCGCCATTTTGTTTTTTTAGCGAATTTCCCATATAGGGAATAAGCTATTACCGTAGTACTCACGGTAAGACCTGGACCCGGGACCGATTTTTTTTTTCGTTTTGAGGTCCCTAGAGGTCAAAAACACCATCCGTTCAAATTCATATATATATATATATTTATATATATATATATATATTTATATATATATATATGTGTCCGTTAGCGCGATAACTCGAGCAAAAATGATCCGATTTTGATGAAATTTGGTACAAACGTGTAAACCTACGTTTATTCGAACGAGTTCGCGAACCAGCATGATCGGACCATGGGAACGAGGGTTTATGGGGGCTTTTATGGGGTAAAAATGGGTTTTTCCTATTTTTGACCCAAAAAACATAAAATTTTGCAATTTCTTTCAAAACTATTTTGTAGAGCTTAAAAAAACAAATAATTTAGTATATTGAAGCGTTATAATGCGCCTAATGGTTACGGAGAAAATTCCAAAAAATTGTAAATTTAAAATTCCCATGTTATTCTTATGGAGAATAAGTAAACTGTTGTAGTTTGCTTGTTTATAAACATATTTTGCCCAAATTTGGAAAATGTTTTTATTTCTTACTAACTATTAACATTTTACATAAAAAAGACTTTTACCCTCCCTGTTGCAGCAAACCTAAGTATGTTTTAAACTGATTCTATTTAAATAGGGAATAAATGTGATATTTTTAAGGAGACATTTTAGTGTAAATCCATTCAGGGAAATGGAAATTCGCTTAGTCTGCAGGTTTGCTGCGGCGGGGGTATTTTTAGTTATAGACTACATTTTTTTTCTAAAGAATGGTTAAACATACGAAATGAAAACTTTGCAGAAACATTTATGACAACTAGACAAATTATGACCATTTTTCAAATTCATAAAACAAAATGGCGGCCATTTAAACTTTTCTTTCTTAAATAACTCAAAAACCATTGATTTTACAAAAATGTTGAATGGCCGCCATTTTGTTTTATGAATTTGAATAATCGTGATAATTTTTTTGTAGCTTTGTCTAGTTGTCATAAATGTTTGTGCAAAGTTTCCATTTCATATGTTAAAAAAAAATTAATAACTGTAAAAAACAAAATGGCGGCTGTGTGAGTAACTAAGGACTTCCGGACAGTTTAAATATGATATTTAGTTATGTTTCTTACCCAGGAGCAATGCCCTAAAATATTGGTAGGGAGTTCCGGGACACCCTGTATATATATATACATATATGTGTGTGTGTGTGTGTGTGTAGGCAGTATATAAGTATAGAGGCTATACATATATGAATTTTTTTATTTTTTTTTTTTATTTTTTTTTATTTACATGCTTCAATACAGTTTAAAGACCATTTACATTGAAGCAGTTCATGCACTTATAATATTATTGCTTCAGTGGGTTTCTTCTTGTCTTTTCACTTCATTTTTACTTACACTTTCATGCCATGCATTTAATACTAACATAAAAACAAAATTATCAATAACTATAACAACAATGTATATATATTTAAAAAAGATTAACAATGATAAATTATATAAATATATAAATACTGAGTAGTAAAAATAAATAGAACAACGAAAAATATATAAATTAACATTTACTGATTGATTAATACTGTTTTTAATTTCAATTTGAAATTGTTTATGTTGTCAGAGAAAATATCAATATTATTGCACTTTTTTATTACGTAATTGTAGTCTTTCATTAATCGATAGAGGGGGGAGGAGGCATGGGCAGTGGTGCGGCTGTAGGGCAACGAGAAGAGATGTTTGTTTCTACTATTGAAGCAGGGTACGCGATAAGACAGGCCGGCCAGGCCAGCAGCGTCGTCAACCTCTCCACGCGCCAGTTTGTACAGGAACACCTGACCTATGATCGTTCTCCTCAGATCTAGACTCTGCAGCCCAAACAATTGTAATAAATCATGGTATGGAACATCGTACGTATAAATATTAAAACATTTGTAAAATAAGAATCTTAAAAACTTTTTCTGGACTTTCTCTAAAGCATCTTTAAACTGTAAATGATATGGATTCCAAATTATGGAACAGGTTTCTAATCTTGATCTGACCAGCGAATGATAAAGCATAATTAATGTTTCAATGTTTCTAAAATTTGTACTTTGTCTAATTATAAACCCCAACATTTTACTTGCAGCAGCAATGCATGTTTCAATATGAAAATTAAAAGATAGTGCAGAATTCATGTGAACACCTAAATCTTTAATTTTGTTTACTCTACTAATTAAAATGCCATTTAAAAAATAGTCATTTCGTAAAAAATTTGTAGTCCTAGTAAAAGTCATTAGTTGACATTTAGAAACATTAAAAGTCATTTTGTTTGAAACACTCCACCTATAAACATTGTCAAGATCTTCTTGTAAGCTATTTGCATCATCAAGACTATTGATATGCTTAAACATTTTTAAATCATCGGCAAATAGAAGTGAATTTGAATTTAAAATACAGTCACTTAG